CAGCCACTCTGAAGGAACACTAGAATAAGCTTGACCACCTATCAGTGCCAGTTTAAAAAAGAAACAGGCATCTTTATTGACTACCAAGAATATAATGACACTAAAGGAACTATGAATACTTTGTGGTCAGTGCAGGTATGCTGACTTACTGTGACTGGATGCAAATGTGTTTGTCACAGGAAACCTCTCTTCACACTTCTCAAAGATAAAGCCTTCATTTCACTGGAAGGCAAGTTTTGTCACAGGTGTTACTAGGTCAAAAATCATCCTTTATCTTCCTGCTATGTTGTGGAAGCAACAAAAAGCAGCACTGTCACATGAAATTACTGATTTTCTTTGAATACTTATGTAATAGTCTAGCCCTTATTTATTGGGTCTAACGATACACAGACTAGCAAGGCAAGAATTTTTATGTTGTAACTCATGTAGCTGCTTTTAATTAAGAAATTTCTTTAAACTCTTATGCAGAGGTAGGTGACTGAGCAATTCAGCTTTGTAATGTTACCATTAATTTGATAGACTTTCTACACAGTGACTCATTCTGTACCTCGCTCACTTCTCCAGTGCTGAGCAGGCCAAGCACTGTCTGTCACTACCAGGTTCTGAAGGCACAGGATGACTGGTTTCTGAAACAAACACCTTAAATCCCATGCTTTTTTCTTGCCCAAATTTTACAGTATATTTTTCCAAGCATAACTTACCTTACTTGACAAGAGTACAAGCACAACTGTCCTATTAACTGTCCTAATAACTGTCAGCTATTATCTAGACAATGCATTTTTCCTATATATCTCCTTCCTTAAAAGGCCTTTTGAAATAACAGAAATTTTAAGCTGTTGCAAGTCACTACTAGTGTTAAACAGCGTAGGTTGTTATCTAGATGTCTTCAAAAAATTTGGAGAATAAGAAAAAAAGGCAGCATTCCTAGTAGGAACCTTCAATACAGGAAATGTACATAGATAATTTCTGAACTTAATGCTCTAAGCAACACCAAACCAAACACACAAATACACTGTTCCTTTCATGAAAAAGAAAGCCCATTTGTGCGTGTCTAACAATGAGAAAGCTTTCATTTTGTCAATGAAATGTGCTTTTGTAGGAAACACTATGCTGGCCACAACAGGTTACCACCTCTTTTGCATATAACTCCTTTTCTAAAGAAAAATTGCTCAGGTTTGTTTGTTTGGTGTGGTTTTTGTTTGTTTGTTTTTTCTTAAATTCAGCTATCTACTTGAAAACAAAACAAGTGTACAATTAGTGCTAATTAGAGGCTAATATGTGTAACAGACATTCCATTTAAGTTTCCTAACACCGTCATTCAGCAAAGGCCATTAGAATTTAACATAAAAGGTACCATCTTAATAAATACTGCAAAGACATAACTAGACCATTATGTAGAGGTACATAAACTTTTTATATATAAAAAACAAGTACATATAAAGTTTCAGGAGGTTAGCTGGTAAGTTCATGATTTATCAGGAGGATTCACCAAGGGGAAAGTCATGCTTGAGCAATCTGATAAACTCCTGTGGTGAAATGACAGTAGATGAGGGGAGAGCAGAAGACATTGTCTGCCTAGACTTCAGCAAGGCCATTGACACTGCTTGCCATAAGATCTTCAAAGAGAAGCTGTTGACTGATGGATGAGCAGACAGTGATGTAGACTGAAAGCCGGCTGCACAAGTCAGGCCCAGGGGGTGACAACCAGTGGAATAGTGTCTCATTAGAGATCAGTAACAAGCAGTGTACCCCACGAGTCAGTACTGGGTCCAATGCTGTTTCAAGTCTTCATTAATGATCTGGATGACAGGGCAGAGCATACCCTCAGCAAGGCTGCAGATGATACAAACCTGGGATGCACCAGAGGGTCATGCTGCCATCCACAGGGACCTCTGCAGGCTGGTGAAGTGGGCTGACAAGAACCTCATGAAGTTCAAGAAGTGCAAAGCTCTGCACCTGTGGAGGAACAGTCCCATACACAATATATGCTGGGGCAACCCAGCTGGAAAACAACTTTGCAGAAAAGGTCCTGGAGTGATTAAGGGACTGGAGCACTTCTCCTGTGAGGAAAGGCTGAGGTAGCTGTGAGTGTTTACCCCAGCGAAGAGAAGGCTGGGGGGAACTTATCAACATGTATCTGAAAGGAAGATGCAAAGATAGAGCCAGGCTCTTGTCAGTGGTGCCCAGTGAAAGGACAAGAGGGAATAGGCACAAACTGAAACATAGGAGGTTCTGCCTGAACATAAGGGAGTACTTTTTTTACTGTGATGACTCTGCACTGGAACAGGCTGCCCAGAGAGGTGGAGTCTCCTTCCTTGGAGATACTCAAAAGCCATCTGGACAAGGTCCTGGCCAAAAAGGTCTAGGTGGCCCTACTTGAGCAGGGGGATCGAAAAACATGACTTCAAGAGCTTCCTTCCAGCCTCAACCAATCTCTGATTCTGTGAGGAAATGAAAACACAGTAGTTTTGAAAAAAGGTAAAGTTTATTTTTTTTTAAATATAAAAAGGTCATGAACTGCATAGAAATATGACTTCCATCACCTTAAAATGTTACTTATCACTCATTTACACTTGGTAATTCCCAGTAATATGGCAGGAAGCAAGATGGTCTAACAATTGTCTACAGTGTATGTATTTACATTCAACTGAAGTTATGCATGCACTGTAATATTTTTAAATAAATGAAACACATTGATCCAAACAAAATCTAATTCAAGGCATATTTTAAGTTTACATAAAGTACAAATCATGTCTTCAAAACTTAAGTTCCTTGGGTAAGACCAATTTTCATTTATTTAAATTTATAGAGGTTAGCTCCAAAAGTAGTAAGAAATGTAAACATTGGATACCATGATAAAAATCTTAAGGAATAACAACTTGGTAATAAAGTGCTGGTATATGCTTTCAGCTTTATTTTTCAGATGTTAAAATTAGAATACTAATGTAGAAAGACTTTCACAAGCTTCCCAGTTGTAATTTCAGTTCAGTAATAGGTTTTGCAGTTTTAAAAAGTAAAAATTTTATAAACATTCTTTTCTACTTTATCTGTTACAGCTTTTTAACATTTTCTTCTTTTTCTTAAGTGAACTTTAACTTCTGGGAAGTGTAAAATAGTTTGTATTATTAATTTACCCAGTTGAATTTGGACTCCATGCTGGTGGGAAAAACAAAAGGTTTAATAAGGCTCCAACTGGGAAAAGCCAAGGACTTTGAAAAATAAGGGTATAAGGTACCTGAACACACTCCAACAACTGTCTCCAGCGAAGTCATTTTATAATTGTATATACTATCAGTATCACTGAAAAAAAGTTACATGAGAATTAATACATCAAGGAGACTCAGTGTGGTTCACTTACACCTAGGCATCTGAGCTTCATACATGCTGAATACATCCATTACTTCATTTCACATGAGATGAAGTCTTGGAAAAAACTTTTACTTCTTCTGACAAAGAAGCTGAAAGACAGTTTTACATGCCTTAGACCTCAGTCTACTTTTCACTTGTCAAAATAAAGACAACAGTCCTGGATTTCTCCATGCATTATGGTGATACCTTATATTGAAATGTATTTGTAAAAAACCCTGCTCCTTCCCTGTGTGAGAAAAGATAAAATATAACCTTTTACCACTCACTATGCTCATCCCTTAATCATGTTGTCCAAAATCTCAATCTGCCTAACTTGACAAGGCCACAGGCACACTTGAAAAAGATTATCAGATTGTGATCTTTTATTATACAAAACAAATCAATTCCAAATCAAAGACAATTAAGTCTAAGCTCTGAGGGGTGAAAAAAATCTCAAAAGTATTTTAAAGTGCC